TTCCTGGGCCACTTTTGAACTGCCTGTGGATAGAAGGATCAGTGGCTATTTCAAAAAATCAAAAAATCATTTAATTTTGGCCTGGGAGTGGTATGTTACTACTACTACACCAAACCCTGACTTGTAAGTGGTGCTAATTAGAAGGATGCTGGACTGAGATTCAGGAGACTCTCATTTATTTCTTTGTCCAGCTGTAAGTCACTTCTGGTTTACTAAAGATACCAAGACTCTCGACTTCCTCTGATTTAAGTTGGGAGTTAGATGTCTTAAGTATCCAACATGCATGACCAGTGGAAGTCTTTTGGTTTTGCTTGTATGAAACAACAGTTCAAAGGCAGCAATCAGAGCCATTCTTCTTCAGTTAAATGGCTGTGGATATGTGCCCACGGGCAGCTGTACAAAGCCACCCAACCAAGGGGTTTTTTCTTGCCAGGGGTAACAAAACCTGCCTTGACTTGCACAGTCAGTCCCCAGTCTAGCTCAAGGTTCTTCGCTGTAGAGCAAATAAAATCTGGATTTCCGACAAAGTGAATGAAAAAACAGTAATAATAGGCCAAACTTCAGATATTCCCTGAGGAAGAGCAATAAACAACCTGGCTAGTTTTGCTTTTTTTGCATTTCAAACAGCTCTCAGTGCTCCTTAGCTAATTTATTCTTGCTGTAATTACGTGCTAGTGAAGATATTTATGCAGAGGGAAACAACTACAAAGAATGAACACCTTATCAACTATGGAGTGCTAGAGTAGGGAAATAGGTTATTCCCCTTCCCTGAAAGCTCCTTTCTTTGAAAACAAAACCTGTTTTCCTGTTGGGTTGATGGTAGGATATTTCCAAGGGAGAGACTGGTACTTTCCTTCAGGAAGCATGATGCTGGTGTACCCATATCTGCTGAAGTAATTGGTGACAAGCTACTTAAACCAATGCTCTGTGCAGTCTAGCATATTTTGTCAGTTTACTCTGTGGAGTGAAATGTTGCAGTCAAATTCTCTATACAGCCAAAAAGTAGAGTGCTCTCACTGTTCTTTGGCATCATACCCCATTCTGTCTGTAGCTGCAATCATATTACCTGAGAAAGGGGGGGTGTTCCTACAAAGCAGAAAAAAATTGCTCTTATTTTCTTCTCTGTTTCCTTTTCTGTGGTTCATTTTTTTTGACCTTGTTCTCTTTTCCCTTCCTTTTCCTCTTCCCCTGCTTCCCAGGTGATGCAGTTTGGAAGAATTGATGGCAATGCTTACATTTTGGACTTTCAGTATCCATTTTCTGCAGTGCAAGCCTTTGCTGTTGCTCTGGCTAATGTGACTCAACGCCTCAAATGAAAAAGCAGAGACTGGAGAGAGGAAAATGTTAACCTTCTCATAAAGTCCAAATGGGAAATGTCAGGGCAGCCTGCTTTAGGTGTGCAGAGATGCCTGGGAGTTAAGAAGGCAGTAAAACTGGAAAAGTCTCTTGGTGCCCACCAGAAGGGCATTAACTCTAATCAGTCACGGGGTGGAGGGTGGGGGGCTGTTTTCTGTTTGTTTGTTTGTTTGTTAGCTTGTTTGTTTTCTGGTTTCTTTTTCTTTTCAAGCATTGTGCTGGGTCTCAGAAAGAGCAAAGGGTTGAGAAGCGTTCAGTGTTACGTGGAGAAGTGTGGCTTTTGGCTTGTTGTGGTGGTTCTGCTGTGTGTGCTACAGTAGCTGATGTAAGCTCATGGGGGGATTAAAACAGACTGCTCTTCTTAGACTGCCTTATCTCATGCTATTCTTTTTAAAACAGGGAACATGACTTTTTTCTGGTCCAGTTTGTACTTCTACTACTAAAACATCAGTGATAGCAGCAAAAAAGTAAAAAAAGAAAAGAAGCTATAATACTTGAAGACGTGTTTCTTCTCTGATACCTGCTATTAACTGAGCATCACAGTTTCCAAGGAGGCTTATGTAGGTAAACGTTTAATTTATAAACAGTTATGTATTACTCAAAAGAGAAAAAATTGTTTCCAGTGAGTGTTTGTCATGGTTTAGGAATGGTTTTCTCCAGTTTAGTGTTTCCACCAAAACACTTCAAACCATGCACCACTTGCTCACTGCCCCCTCCCCTTTTCCCTTTCCTGAGTTGGATGGAGAGGAGAACTGGAGGCACAAAAGGTAAAGATCACAGGTAGAGAGAAGAACAATTTACTGCAAACAGCAGTGAAATAAGAAGACAAACAGTAACAGCAGCAATGTTAATAACAGAGTGCATGAGAGGTGAAGGATTCACATGTGTGTGCTCACCAAGGGGAGCCTCTGCCAGTACCTGACTGTGCTGCCACACTATGGGACCCTTCCCATGGCCCCAGACTATGATTGGAGGTGGTATAGAATAGCCTCTAGATTCTAGCCATGCCCTCTCCTGGCTACTGCAAAAATCAACTCTGGCCTGGCTAGAACCAGGGTTTAAAAACCTACTGCATCAAAGAAGTTGATGTCTGTTTTGTATGCTGTTAAGGGGGATAAACATCTTGCAGTAGGTGACAGAAGACAGAGAAGCAGTTACAAGCACTGCTTCTTTTGTTACTGGCATAAACATCTTTCAGTAGGTAAAAAAAACTGGAGAGGATATAATCATGAGTGTTGCTTTTTTGTTCACATTGTTCAGCAGTATTTTATAATTTGGCCTGTAGCTGGGAGAGGTACAGTGTGATCAGATGTACCTCTGAGGCCGTGCCTGTGCTTGCTCCTCATTTCAGTGTGTTTACACCATGTAAACAAAGCTTTTCCAGCAAATGAGAAGACCCAGTGCATTCAGTCGTCTTAGCAATCAGTATCAATCAAGTTCTACAGCAGTGCTTGAATTAGGAAGGAGACAGAAGTGCGTAGCAAGTCATTACAAGAAGAAATTTCATCAGGGAAGCAAATTCATTGCAGGAAACAACATCATGGCTGGCTGGAGAACAAATTATTTGAAAGAGAAAGGAAAAATTGGACAGGATCATGTCTTCTGTCACCCACCTTGCTACTTGCTCCAGCTAAGAGCAGGAAGCCAGTGTCTACATGGAGTGTGATGGAGGAAAGCTTAATACCAGTAGTATGACTGTGCAGTTCTCGCTGTGCACATGTGGACATGTTGAGCATTTCAGAAGGTTGCTTGCACAGAAGAGTTTTTTTGTTATCCATGTGTTGTGCACATGTTTACTTGCTTTTTCTCTTTCCTTGTCAGCATTTTGCTACAGAATATGTTTTGATATGAAAATAGTTTCACCAGTAATGTACAAACCCCCAAACTATTCATATAATTATTTGGACATTAGATTACAAAACATCACAGCAGATTTTTGTAAAAATGGATCTTTTGAAGTTAAAAGATCACTGGGAAAGATATGCCGGTTGAGATGTCAACAGCTGCTTTGTCTTTCATCCATGGTTTGGCTTCTTTACTTGAAAAAGCCCATATAACTTCAGATGAATACGTGTGATTTTCTCTCTTTGTTTTTCTTGAGCCCTAGTAGTAGGGCTGATGAGTGTTGTGTTTGATTTATTCTAGAGGAACATTTCACATAAGACCCTGCTGTAGTAGAAATTGCCAGTATGCAGTGAGCTGCTCTGCTGAGGTTTCCAGAGCTGATCAGCACGGAGGAGCAATGCCCCTAGAGGAGTTTCAGAGAGTTGCCAGGGGAGGTGATGAGTTAGATTGGACAATGCCCCACAGGGTAGGTCCAGGAAAAACCACCTGTGAGATGGTGTCATTGGAAGGGAGGAAGGAGAAGTGGGAAGGAAGGAGTGGGGCAGTAGATACCATGCCTGTATTATCCCAAAGCTTAGCAGCTTCTGCTTGTGTGTGGGAGTGGCCAGGCTCAACATTACCCTTGGCATTTATCAAGGTATTTTCTTTAATTAACTAATTTTGTTTTCTTTAATTATCTCGGCCCACTTGTGTTCTTTTTCATGTGCTTGATTTACTCAACAGTTTGAGTGCCTGTATGTTTAATGTGTGTGGAGCAGAGGAACTGAAATAGATTTGGTTCTGGTCCCTTGAAAATCAATGAAAATGTTTCACTTGTTGGTTTTTATTGAGGAAACACTATTAAGCCCTTTGTCTATATTGAGTTACATGCTGTAAAAACAGTAGGTTGAATTCTTAGTCCACTGATTCCAGTGCACAAGGAGGGAAATTGGCTGATGAGAGGCCTCACCTGCCCTAAGGTCTGTGCTAACCAGCTGTACCCTAATTAGTGTTTGACAGGCACACAGTGAACACTGTAAGACAAGAAACATACCAGGGCTGGCTTGTTTGCTTGCTGAGGGAAGGGCCACTTAGTCATATGTCAGAAATGCTCTGCTGGAAAAGCATCCCCAGCCAAAATTATTAGGACGTGGAAACAATGTGAATGTTCTTTTCTGAAGAAAATCTAATCGAAATAAGGAGTTCTGCTTGCAATTTCCTAACCTTCCAGAGAATAGTATTCCTCTTCACTTTGTTTATTGCCAAATTTTTCCAGTTATCAGTAGTTTTGTTCTAATGGAGAACCAAGAATTGAAACCAGTAAAACAAATAACAGTTAGTAATTTGGTTTCATTGGTCCAGGTCATGATTGCATCCTTCTGGTAGCACTCACAAAGAGCCATGGCATAGAAAGAGCTCTGGTTTCTGCTTCAGCAAAGAACAAGGAATAATTGCCAAAAAATTGGGAAAATAAATGCTATTTCCAACATCCTTTCTATTTACTTGTCAGAAAATTCTTTAAGATAAGATAGTATTTTATCTTTTTGAAAATAATTTAGCTGAGTCTCTTTAATTAAGGATTTTAATATTTAGAGAATCCCCAATTAGAGGAAGAAAATACTCTCATATATAGAATGTTAATGAAAGGTAAATACATAGAAATCTGAGTGTGCAACTGGATCCTAAATTATAAAAAGAACAAATGAAAGTAATTTTATTCTAAATTGAGATACAATATTAGGAAACAAGTAAGAATATTCCCACTTAATCCCTTAAATTGTGAAGACTGCTATTGCGTTCAGCCGAAGGATAGATGTTACATTTTCTAAGTTTTTCTGTAGGTAACTTAAGTACTTCTAGGAAGAATGTAGCAAAGTGTTCAGGAATATCTAGTTATTTTATACATGCAGTAATTTCCACTGAAAGGACGTAAAGGATGTTTTTTCCAAAGCTTATTTTTTTCAGTTGTGCAATAATTTTAACAGTCTAGGGAGTTTCTTTTGGGTTTTTTGGGTTGGTTTTTTGTTTTGTTTTAGTTTGGGTTTGATTTTTCTGTAGGGAGTCTTGAGTGGTTTTTTGAAGATAATTTAATGCAGATTTCCTGTTAATGTCCAAAAAACAAATTATTTTTTTGCATAAGGTAATGAGTGATTTAGGGATTATTTTTTTACTATCTATCAGTGAGTTATACACACTTATTTATGTTTAAAGAGCATCTTTGTAAGCAATTGTTTGTTAGCAGTTATATTTTGCTGCAAGAAATTAAAACTGCTTATAGGAAGACCTGGTTTTGCTGGATAATATGCAAAAACTTCATAATGCATGCAAAAATATTTTTTGGCAGCTAAACACAATGAGTTTGCTATGGAGAGCTATGCAGACTACAGAGTCTAGATGAGTTCTTTGGGACCTGCAGAAATCTGTCCTCTGTTTTCCTTCTTTATTTGTAACTATACTCTGGTTGGGAGTGGCTTAAAAAGTAGAAGGCATGGCTTGCTTTTTGTTGAGGTATAAGATAAGGTGAGTTATGTGATAAGAGAGGGTATGACGGCATGGGCTGTTGGTAAGGAGGTCACTGTAGTTCAGTTGGGGTTGGTGATGGCACAATTCAGTGCCAGGTGGAGGTGCAGGCAAACTAGCTTGGAATCAGCTGAGGCACAAGGAATAGTGCAGCAGTTTCCTCTAAAGCATTTTCCTCTGTTCAGCCTAAAAGTGCTCTTCCTGCAGCTGGGCTCAGCTGCTTCCAGCATTGCCACAGTGCTTCTGGCAGGTGCTGCACAGAGCTCACGGAGCTGTGCCCTAACGGTGCCTGCGGCAGCTTTGCCTCTCCAAGATGCTCCATAGGAGACTTGTTGGAGCAGGTGTTGCTCCACTCATCCTTCTAGGTCTGCTCCAAGAGCAGCAGGAAGCTGCCATGGAGTTTGGCTGCAGCAGCTTTGGGCAGAGGGAGCCCGATGCCAGCCAGCAGCCACAGTGTCCATGTGAAGTCAGAATCTGCTCTGCAAAGGGATGAAACCAAAAACCTGATAATTTTGAAAAAATAATGGTGATATCCTTGAAATATTATTATCTCAAACAGAATCCAAAAATTGATATTTAAAGTCTGGCATAAATGGAGGGGCAACAGTAAGAATACATATTTCTGCATTCTTACTGTTTAAACTGTGAGAATGCATGTTTCTGCAACATCCTGAGAAACTATGAGAAGGTGGGGGGTAAGAGATGGGGAAAAAAAGGCATTATCACATTAGCAATTTTGCACTCACTTCCAGAGACTGCAGTATCATGTGCCATGGGCTGCCTGAATATCAGTGAATCTGCACACAGGTTAAGCTCAGTTACAGAAGTTTCCTGTGATGCGGCCACAGGTAAAACAGTGTTTTTATGAAGATGCATGAAGGTCTACAGGTGTCAGACAAGGATATCTAACTTTCCTGAAGCCTTCAGCCTAAACTTTCCATAGATCCAGGCTTTCCTTGAAGTGTCTTTTTAGTGTCCTCAGAAATTACAAACATTGGAGATTATGGAGCTTGCCTGACTGTTGCCTCAGACAATTACTGTGCATTTGCTTTTTGCAGCCTGATGTGTGTGATCCTATGTTACCTTGGTGCCCTCTTACCTCTCAGAAACATTTTACATCCTCATATAAAAAGAGCAGAAAGTGCAAAAACTGATTTGATGAAAGAGGAGAGAAGACACAGTAAATTTTCATTAACTTTTAAGAATGTGTTTCCCAGAGCAGCAGTCAGGAATTGCATGTCTGAAGGGCCCAAATTACTCCAGACCAGTAAATCAGACTTAGAGATTGGTAAGAGATGAGACCCTTGTGTGGCATGCTGACAGAGAGCCAACTTCCAGCCTCACCACATGGTTACACCAAGATGCATAAGAGACCAGAATCCAACCCAAAAGGTACTTCCCCATTACTGTGTGATTAAAGTTGACTTGTGTGACCCATGCATATCCACTCAAGGAAATTATAGAGCATTACCCAATAGCCATGTTGATAGCTCAGTATAACCCTCCTTGAAGAATCCTAGAAGTAAAATCCTGGCCACAGAGTAGTCATTCAGATTTTTGACTTTTATTCCCATTTGTAGGATTCCATCACAGGACAGGAGGGCAAGCTGTTGATGCTATTTAGAGATTGGCATAATAGTTTTCCCAGTGTAAGAGAGCAAGTCACCTATACTGCTTACAAAAATGGGAAAATTCCAGTAGACAAATTGGTTTTTGTGTTCATGTCTCTTCCCCTTCAAGGCACAAACCTTCATTATTAAATACCAATTTAGAGTCTTGCTGCCCTCAGGAGTTGTCTGCAGGGACGCACCACAGGTCCTCTTTACAGCATTGGAATTTACATGCACCATTCTCAAAGGAATAAAATTAATTACTACTTGTGAACAATGGTCTATGTGAATTATTTTGTCTTTGTATTTATTTAATATTCTTAAGAAGTCCCACAGAGATGTTTTTAAGATTAAAAGACTGCTTTCCCTGTTGTCTGATATTACTGAAGATATATCAGGAGTTTCTTTGGACGGTTTGATTGTTGCTATGTCTAGAAAATTTTTAAGGCAAAAGCAATTAATGAAACAAAAGAATGAAATAAGATTCGGTGAAGCAATTCTTGCTAAGAAAACTAAAAGCTTCACCCTTTAACTTTGGATTTGTCAAATGAATCAGTAATGAGAAATTTGTGTTTCAAGGCAAATTGATTGTTTGGGAGCGCTGTGCAAGTGCACTGGTTTGCTGTCCCAGAGCTGACTGCAGGATCAAGAAAACATGCTGTTGTGAGACAAAATTAAATAAATGAAAACACCAAATACTTACCTATCCAGAGTGTTCAATGAAAATTTCGATGGTGTGATGTCAAAGCCTGCCAGTCTGTTCTTAACCCTCTGGTTTACAGTTTTAAAATATGGACTGATCAGCAATTCTAAATCCTGAAAAGGTTGTCTATTTTTTTTGAATTTTATCTGACTGGCCAGGTAGATGGCTTAAGATACAGATAAAGATTAAAGTAATAATGAAAGAGAAACATTTTTGGACAGTGTGTAGACACCTGAGTTTCAAGTATTTCAAGGAATAATGCTCGGCCAGTAATTCTTACCTATGTTGTTTGAAGCTATTTGTTCAGAACTTTTCTAACTTGCCCTTTGTTTCTTTAGTTTGCTTGATATTTATTTGCCTTTGGTTGCTTTTCATTTCTGTTTCACTGTTCCAGCATTTGCTGCTTCTTTTTCTGTGTGTTGTGTGTTTTGGGAAGGGTATGTCTGTTCAAGACCTCGTTGTTTATTGTAGATACAATATATGGTGTTGTGGAATAGCATGGGGATGCATTCGATTGAAAAGGCACTGCAGTGTTTCCTGAAAAAGAAGGGGAGTTGCATTTGTTTATAAATGCATTATTTTGGTACTATAACTTTGAAAGTGATTTGGGATTTTTTTCCTTTCTTTTTTTTTTTTTGTTTGGTTTTGTTTTTTAGTTTTTCTTTTAAATTTAATGAGTATAGAGTCATGCAGGTGCATGCATTCTTAAGTGAGCAAGCCCAGCATGTTTTTCTTAAGACTTTTGAAAATTTGGTATACCATTTGTGAACTTTATTTACCTAGACTATTTTTAATTTTTTTTATCTCCTTTTTTTTTTCTCCTGAATATACCATGGTATACTTGGTTTCCATTGTGCTTAAAAACTACCCTGATCTGCCTCTCCTTTTATGTATCTTGTGTAATAGATTTTGCAGGAGGTGCCTAGAAAGTATTGTTGGTTTCCCTATAAAAGTGTGGTTTGTCCAGATTCTTTACTGTCTACATGATTGAGAGATGGACTGATTGCCCTATTTTTCCTTGATGATTTGGAGTTGTAAGAGTTGTCCAGCTGTTGCTTAATAAAATTTTGCAGACTAGAAAGTTGCTGATTTGTTTCTGTTGCATTCTGCATCTTGTCAAGCACCTAAATACTTTTAAAGCAGATGATAAATCTGTGCTGGAACAACCTGAATAATAACTAGCCAGGTGCCATTGCACTTTCTCTTTTCAGGAATCGTACCCACAAGTTCCACTGGACGTGGTGCATGTACCAGCCCCATCATACCTTGTGTCATTCACATGACAGGATGGATGGCAAGGATTTTCTGGTGGTAGTGTTCCCATCTGCCTCAATATCAGGTGGTTCTTGTGATATTTCTACCCTGCTTGCTTTCCTTTTTAAGGAAATTACTTTTGGGGTTTGTGTACTTCTGATTTTGTCATTGACAAACTGAAAACCTTAACATCACCACAAGGGATTTCCTCTGTCCTCTCATCTTTAACAACAAATGCTATGATGGCCAGTGTTTATTCTCTCGTTTCTTTAAAAAAATAAAAAAACCCTTTTGGGAATAAAGAAAACAAAAAAAAAGGTGGTAAAGTAGCTTACCTTGCCTCATGAACATCCCAGCTATGGCACAAATGAGGAAATCCTGGTATGGATTGTCATAATGGACCTAGGTTACCATTGGAGTTTTGCAGGGTTCTGTGCTGGATCCTCACCTCTACACCATATTCATGGGTGGCCTAGAAAAAGTTTGAACATTGAGCTACAAAATTTATTGATGATGTGAATTATTCAAAGTAGTAAAGGCAATGGGCAGTTGTCAAGAATCTCAGAAAATCATTGTGAAACTTGACAGTGAAATGGCAGGTGAAACACGGCATAGGTAAATGTGAAGAGATACATGGGGGGAAGAAACCATCCTAATTTCACATTTGCAATAGTGATCTCTGCAGTGATCTCTGTTACTCAGGGGAAACCTTTCACCAGAATGATAGATAGTGTTCTGAAAACATCAGGTTGGTGCTGAGCAGCAGTCAAAAGAGGAAACTAAAATATTGGTAATGATTGGGTAAAGATTTGACAGCAAAGC